GAAAAATTTTCAATACCCAATTAACCGGATAATTGGTGAATAATTGGTGAATATCATTCGGCAGATACAACCACTAGTCAATGAAATAATTTTTGACGAAATGAACTTTTGATGAAACAAACTTTTGACAAAATGAACTTTTGACAAAATGACTTTTGACAAAATGATTTTTGACAATAATTATAATAGTAATTTTTTTAAAAAACTTTTTTTTTCAAAAAGCACAAAGTATCACATTAACTCATTTGTATCATATGAAAAATATGTGAATTGATCAACAAAGAGGCATAAATTTCTATACCTAAATTTGGAAAGAACCCTGACTGTATTCACTTTACTCATTGAATATATTACATAAATAAAAATTAGTATAATATTTTTATAACAATAAATATATAAATTTAATGAAAAAGGTGAGAAAACAATCATTGATAGTTCTAATAATAATATCAATAATATTGAACATTTGAGAAAATGTCAAAATATAAAATAAAATTTTCATATAAATACTTAACATTAACCTTTCAAAACACACATTATAGAACCATAATGAGCACTATACTTGTCATCGGAATTCCATAATTACAGCAAATTTGGCATTACAGTATAAGCCATAAATGATTTTTGGCATGAGACCTCAAAGTCATAAAAGTCATAAACTGTAAAACCATAAAACCGTAAAACCATAAAACTGTAATGCTGTAAAACCATAAAACCGTAATGCCATAATGCCGTAATGCCGTAGATACTGTAAATGCCGTAAATCCTAATACCTAATACCAACTAAGGTTTCTGGTCAAAACTGCTTCTATTAGTAGTCGAAATTGCCCAAATACTTTGGCCAAAAATTATTTTTTTATAAGCCCAAACTACTTTTTGTTATTAGCCGAAATTGGGCGAAATTATTTTAAAGTTGTTCAAGTTAAAACAAGTTGATTCATATAGTTTTTTAATGCCCATGCTTATAGAAAATGTTGAGAAGCCCAAATTGCCCAAACTAGTTTGGGCTATGAGAAAACAGTTTGGACCAGAAACCTTAATTGTGAAACTGATTTTGATGAAGATTGGATAAGAAACACCATGTATAATCTGTAAATATTTTTTAACATTGAAACCCTGTTTAAATTAAAGAAGCATAAGTTATGTATAACTTAATTATTCTATCTCATTCACAGTGTTCGGGAATATGAATCAAGAAATTTTGAGAAAAACCATTTGGAAGCCTGGTCACTAGTGCATCCATGGCCTTTTATAGATAAAGTATTTGAAAATCTAGGAGTAGAAGCAATAAGGTAAGTAATATGAGATAAATGATCTATGTTGATTATATGAAAAAAAAAACTTTTGAAGAACATGTTCTAATTTGTTTTATGACAGAGGTGAGTCTTCCAGCCTGGCATCCTCCTTGAGAAAAAATGAGCATCGTACAATAGCAGCTATAGACCCATTAAAAAGAAAGTATATGGGGAGGAGAGGTGACCTTTTAATAAGAAAAAAATTGACTGAATATGGATGTGGGGAGGTTGGAAAATTTTATGAGGGTAAAAATGGCACCAAGATTATAAAAGAAAGAGGTTTGAAGCTTCCCAAAATGTTAAAAGATATATTTAATAACTTGACCTCTGTTGTTGACTTTGAAGAAAAAAAGATAAGAAAATTAGAAACAATTGGATTCATCTGCTCAGGTATGCTTTGTTATGCAATATATCTCTTAACATAATGGACTTCCCACTAAGCCTTATCTACTCTTTAGGCCTTTATATGTCAGTATTACGATTAGATACCCCTACAGGATATACTTGTAGGATAAACCACAGTCCAACTATGGAGATTCCTACAGAAATAAACCAGTTTGGAAGGAAGGTACTTCCAACTGTAGCATTGGTCTGGAAAACTAAAGTATGTTGAGCATTGCTTGTATGAGAAAAAAAAAATAATGCATTAGTTCTTGTTTCAATATCTAACAGATGTTTTTCTTAATAGCAAATTGTAAAAAATGTGATTAATATCACAGAACAAAATAATGATGATGATAATTTTATTCAAACTCTTCAAAATTCTTGTGATTTTTATGAAAATGATGAAAAATTGGAGATTCCGTCATGCCTTCAATCACCTCAAATGCCAAGCAAATCCAGCAAAAGATTAAAGAAACATCATGGTTAATTTATTTTAAAAATATTGAACAAATTGTTGCAAATACTGTTATTTATGCAATGTGTTGGCCATTAACATTTGTTTAAAAAAGAGGTAGTTTGATTGTGCCATTACAAAAAAATTTATTTAATAAATTTCTGTATTATTCATTAATGACCATAACTTTTTAATTAATTGCTATCTCTCTATTCCAGAAAAGTTCAATATTCATCTGTTTCATTGTAAGAAATAGCTTTTTAATAATTCTAAAGCATCTAATGTTTCTTTATGGTAATATTTCACATGTCTGTATTATCATTCTCTCTTTCTTCACTTCCAATATTTTCACTAAAGATTCTTCAGTATCTTTTTTTTCAGGATAGTTGATATATTCTTCAACATTCACTATATCTTGCAAATTATATTTATATCAAATAATTTATGTATTACAAAAATTACAAAAACAATAACAAATTGTTGTTTCACTGCCATAATTAGAATTACATTCTAGTTTAGTGTTGGAATTTGACTGCGCCAGCCATACAAATATTAATATATTTTGAGTTAACAACATTCCTACATGTAATTCACTACAAGGATTAATTTAGCTTAGAAACTATTTCACTTAATAAATTTTGAAAATTGCAAGACATATAGTGCAAGTCACTTAGTCCCACAACTTTCTGTGCCACACCACCAATTTTGAGAAAAAATTTCCAATCAAAAATGCAATAAAAATTTTACAGTCACATGATTTTTGAAAATTGTCAA